ATTTAATCAAACACACTTTAGTATTGGAATATTCTCACATTACATTTAGCACTTGCATTAAAAACGTTAGAATTGTTTGGCATACTTTGGAGATAATAAACCTATATATAATAGCCATCCATCAGTGCTCAGTACTACAGCCCATGTAAATAGACCGGTGACTTTTAATGTGAGATTAAAAGCGATTAATTCCTTTTAAAAAATGCTCTTGACATGTCTCCGCTAAAGAATTACATTTTTGAAAAATTTTCAAGTTTAGTATGTGTGTTATTGATGCAAGTTCAAACACTGTATATAATTACATGAGCTAAATTTAAACATGTGCTTTCTTTGGCAGTATCTTTATTGTTATTGCATGTGCTAGTATTTAAATTAACTATTGAGTGATTATTTTTGTTCTTAAAAAACGTTGGTTAATACAGGCAATTTATGCATCTAATTTTTAAGGTTACAATAAACTTTATTTTTTTCAGACTCAAGCTACTGGGGCTAATACACTTGTTATGCTGAATGAGCAAGGAGGTACTGTGTCTGTGAATAGTGCATAGGCACCATATTCAATAAAGACCATCTGCTTAAAATCATGCCACGATTCCAAGCATGCAACATGCAAGGATTCCAAGCAGCAGCCATACCACATGCATTTTTATACTGTGTGAATCAAGTTTAAACATGTAACAACATCATAGTCTTCACCACACATGTTCAATATACCAGCAGATAAAGGTATTTTCCATGCTGTCACCCTTCAGTCCCGTGATGCCAGAATCCATCTCACCCTCACGCATGAGCAGATTTCACCTATTCATCTTCACGGAGGTCTTCCTCTCTCTTTTGGCGACCATTCCATCACTATTCTCGTCCATTGGCCATCATCCCCTCTTGCGATGTGTCCCACCCATGCTTGCTTTGCTTAAGAGTCGATATAAAGTAAATGTGTGGTTGTCCACAGATGTGTTCCTCTTTATGTCTCTCCATGCTTATTTGCATAAGTTTTATCTTTTGCTCCACGTTCTTTTTCAGAGTCCATGTTTACAATCCGCATGTTATGGCAGATAATATTCCTAGGTTGGAAACTTTCTATTTTAGGCACAGTATTGTACAATGTATAAAAATTCATTAACATGTTCACGGTCTCTAGTCAATTGATTTAATATGGATATTTCAGAGCAACTGAATACAATTGAACAGAACTTGGATCATATAAATGAAGACATGAAGGAGGCTGACAAATACATTAGGCAGATGTCAAAATGCTGTGGACTGTGCATCTGCCCATGTAACAAGTGAGTGAGTTCTTCTTCAATGTCCATCTAACAACTGTTCCATGCGTGATTGTTTAAAATCGGCATTGTTAGCCTTAAATATATTGCTGTAATTGCAAATGTTGAAGTTTATGCATTTCATTGTTTTCACGATGCATCATTATTTAACCCACTAAAATGTTTACTGTTGCACACTGATTATGCAGATTCTCCTTTGTAGTCACTCCATGCTTTACAATTGTAAGCCGTGCACTGCAGTTGTTAGGCCGTGCTTATGAGAAGCGAATAGACCTTACTTTGATGTGCACAGGATGAAGAGCATTGACAACAAAGGTGCTTACAAACCGGCGGTGTGGGGCTCCATAAGCAAAGAAAAGGTGGTCTCTGAGCAACCAGGCAAGGCAGGCCAACAAGGCCAGCCTCAAGCCAGTGGACCTTTCATCAAAAGGTGTGCAATGTGATTGTATCATAGTTAATTCCTGTGCAAATGAGCATAAAGGGAGTGCTTCTCTCTTGTTAACAGCCCTCAGCCAATTGTGGAAATTCCACATTTGCTATGGTGGGGATGAGTATCCCAAGGGCAACCACTGTTGACTTCCCCACTGTGGTACTCATTTTCATTATTTCCACCCCGTAGGTATCATGGGCTGATTATTCCCCCCCCCAACCAAGATTTGAACTCACAACCTTAAGATTGTGAGCTGCTTGCTCTCCAGCTGAGTCACCTGGTCAGATACTACTGAGATTGTGGTGAACCAGGAATTGCTCAATTCAAAGCCAAGTCAACTCAGTGCTGTCAATTGAAAAATGTTCAAGCAACTATTCTCTTGTTTTTTGACACATCGTATTTTCACCACCATCCATGATGTTTGCCCATCGAAATAATATCCAGTAGAGTTGAGCCTGGATATTGCTTGGATAGGTGACCATTATGCAAAATAATGTGTTGTTGGCTGCTGCGAGGCTACATTGTCAACAGAAGGCAGTAAAGCAAAATCCAATGGACTGTTTAATGTTTGAACCTCAATGCTTTCCACCTTCACAAACTCGCACTAACCAGTGTGAAGTATCGTCAACAGCAACAACCGACATTCGCCACTAAGTGGCGGCGACATTACCGTGGCGCTTGTGCCAGGCTATGTGCACTTGGTCAAATAACCCCCATGACAGACACGGCTTAAGTAAGCTTTCATCCAATAGTGGATTTACAAAGGCTGTACATGAGCATTCACCAACACTATTTGGGTAGAGCAGGCTTTGCGAGCCATGGATATATATTGACCATATCTACGTGACTTTTTATGTTCTGTATCCACAGTAACTTATATTCTGGACTTGACAACAGTGAGATGTGGGAAGGTTTAATGTGTGGCCTGTTCCAGAATTTAAACAGTACCTATATTGGCCAACATTCAGTCACTTTAAATGGCAACAGACTTAAAAAAAAATGCACATGAAATAAAAAGTACTTTATAGTTATTTTGGGTTATGCCAGAGGTCCAACATTTTGTTCCACATACTGGGAGCCTCTTCAGGCAAAAATAGTGAAATTAAGTTATGGGAAATAAATTTACTGATGCTGGCAGTGCTTGCTTCTTACAGGTGCTATTGTCCTGACGATTGTGCCACTGTGGCCCGTCTCTGCTGCTTGCCTCCTACAGGATCACCGATGATGACCGTGAGGATGAGATGGAGGAGAACCTGCAAGAAATCGGTGATATTATAGGGAACCTCAAAGGCATGGCTCTGAATATGGGCAACGAGCTAGACCAGCAGAATACACAGCTCGAACGGCTGAATGAAAAGGTCAGGAGCAGCGGAACTTCAGAACACGTAACATCGGCACATGCCATTAATAATGGACGTTTGGCTGCGCGAACATACATTATATATCTCAAGGATCTATCACCGAATCTAAAGGCATTAAAGTACAATTTACAATTATAGGAGCGAGAATGCTCCAACGGCCCGCACACTGCACAATTAATCCGATAACACAAGTTCGATTCTCGACCACGGCTAACATCTGTGGCTGGTGATATCTGAATCAGTTCTTGGTGCACTCCTGAACCCCTGCCTTCAATTGATGAATCAATGTACTGTTTTGATACGAGCCTAGCATGTATTAATACCATTTTCCATGAAAATTTATATTTCCATTTATTAATATTGTTACAGTACATTAACAAGTGTAAAGGTATAATGCTGTCGATTTGCTGACAATCGATTCTTACTCTCAGTACATGTATTCAATCATGTATATAAGAATGTTTTTATATACCATGTATGCAACAGGTTCACATGGCCCCATTACAGCTAAAGGCTGCTGCATTCCCCACAAAATGTAAAAATGTTTTGTTTTAATTGAGTCATGATCCACATTTGGAAAATTAATTTAAGCGCAAAGGGTGTCAATTGATGCAGGCCTAGTGAAACGCTTGTGCTGGTCACATTTCATAAGCTATTTGAAGCGATGAGCATGGTTCGTACTTGGATAGGTGACACCAGGTGTGGCCATACTCCTGTTTGCTCCCACATGCAAAACACTAATTTGTGGTCAAACATCCAAATGCAGAGACTCGGTGACACTTTCCCAGGTAAATTATTTCCATTGATATTATTATTATTATTGGCATATATACCAGTTTTTCTGTTTTATGACATGTTACAATAGCAGATGCTGGAGTGTGGTGATGGCATCTGCTGGGCCATGAAACAAACTATCCAAAACAGATATGGATGGGTAGCACTGGTCCAAATTCACAATCCTAAATACTGCTTGATGAACATGACAACTTATGGTGGTTGAACTTTGACATTTCCTTGCAGGCGGAGCTTAACACATCTCGAATTAATCAATCAAACCAGAACGCAACAAAGCTACTGAAGTAACATACTTCTGGGAACAAGATATCACGACTAATGATACATATTTAGATATAGTAAGCCATTGCATTAACTCAATTCCACTTCAGCAACATTCTTTTATATTGTTGCACAAGGAGCCATTTTTTTGTTTACAATACAATCAACTATATTGAGTACATTATTTAAATGCTTTGAGCCATTTTTGCCGAGGCAAAATAAAGCACTATTGAATGGTCAACGTGAAAACTATTTTATCAAAACTTTATATTCGCCAACATGCTTATATACAATTACCAATTAACATTTTCAAATACTAAAATTATATTTTACACTTCTTTACAATAATCTTTTTAAAGTTCCGATTTAAATGTGAATACGTACTTGCTAACCACCTGAATATTAATGGTAAACATGTTCAAACCCCTGTTACTTAAAACTTTGCTTTATTAACATGTAAATTGTGTGTACATTATTTTAATAAAATGAATATTCTTTCTGTTGAGTGGCAGTGTTTTTAGTTAAGTTGCACATCTGAAGGAAGTTTATGACCAGGTAGGATTTGACGTTCTTTTCACCTAACCTCAAGGCCCAGTTTTGCAGACAGGGAGTCGGTTCTAGCCAAGCAACACAAAACTCATTCATTGCTATTCGTGTTTGACCTGATGGGGTCAGTTGGGGTTCCTCAAGACACCTGAACCACCTTGTACAAGGATCCACAGGTCCCAAAGTCATCACTTACCTTCCAATCATACGCTACCATCACATCAAAGGGCTCTGTTTAAGAATTCTGTATATAACATTCACTCATTACAATCACTCACCCCAAAGCATATTTTCCATAGGCAGTCTATTGAACGTCCTAACTAGTTTTTTTTCCCATTGAATGGAAAAGCCTCCACAGGCTAATAACCTTGACACACACGTTGTAAATGTCACCTTGCCATTTGAAAGGGTTTTTTTTTTTTCTCATATAATGCTTGATGTGATCTTTGCATATGGGAGACCAATAAAGCCTCTGACAATTATTTAAAATAAAAAACATGTTTATTGGTCATTACCAAATATCTCAATGAATCGCAGTACTTATTCATCAGCTGCTGCTAGGTGTGTCCGAATTATATCAACCACTGGAATGCACTGTATTTCAGCGTGTTTCAAATAACCCTGCATTCGAAGCCATTCAAGCACAACCCTGGGGATATCACACACCCAGCCAGCGATACTGCTGGCAAAGCATTTTACGATTACATTAACAGAGTACATTCGTTTCTTCCGAGATCACTTCAAAGTCCAATTGTTGTAAAATACATAAATGTTGATACAGGTTGAGTCACAGGGGAGGTGGGGGGTGGAGCTATTGCCCCAACTTTTCAGATTTGGAGCACTCTGTATACTGGAGGAATCCAATGAACTATAAAGCTATTTTCTACAGATGTCAAGTAGAGGGGTGTACAATAGATATCAGATCCTCCCCCCCCCACCCTAAAAAAAAATCCTTTGGACAGGAAAGTAGAAGACATTTTCTTCCAACTGTGCTATGGGTGTTTACGACGAGACATAGAATCCATTCTTAACTTGCATACCAGATCCCCATCCCATGTCCAAGAATAGCCAGTGGAAGGGAAACGTGCAGCACTTTTTGTCCTTGCTTGCGCCACTCCTGGTAGAAAGGCCTCCATTTGAGGGCGCTCCAGAGGGTGTTTGGCACATCCACACTAGCCATATATTTTTTTGGGGAAAAGGTACCCACATTATTACCCCACCACACGCATATTTCTGGTCGACAAACTGGTGTATCCACTTACATTGTGCTGTGTGGGGACTGAGGTGGGGGCGGATTTAAGAGAACTTGCTCGTGCGTTCAAATGCCACACGAGGAGATTGAATCGAACCAGCAACCTCTAAATCACAAGTCCATTGCATCACAACAGCATCCTCTGCAGAAAGAAATATCACGAAGTATTCTTCATCGATAGTTATATCCTAAATAAAACAAAGGGCCATACATCCACCCAACCTGGCAGAATGTTTGTCACATGGCACCTAAACCAACTGTTAATTCTGCTCTGGCATTTGGACCAAATAAGTGCAAAAGAAAATGTTATAGAGTTTGTGTTTAGCAGATAGTGACGGCCATGCTCACAACTTACTGTTGCCATATAATTTAGCCACCTCCACTTGCCAAATGCTGGCACACTTAATGCTGGTTGCAGGTTATGGTGCAGGAATAGGACAGAATTCCGACTTTTAACTCTTGTTATGTTTAGAGAGTGACAACCCAAAATGTTTGGAAAATAATGCCTGGGTTTAACGTTGCAAACAACCGCTGACAGCCAACTTTCCCAATCGGTGCCAAGCATGGATTGTCACTATAACAATGTTGACTTACAAGGCCCAAAGTTTCCAATAGAGGGCGACATGGGGTCTCTTCCACAAGGAAAATGCAGTTTTCCGTTGTCCAAGGAAAAGGCTATTGAATGAGATGTACTGTACTTGGTTTAAAAGTAATGTTCTAAAGATGTTCACAACACCTACCTTTCACATGAAGCGATGAATTATTAAATCTCATGTACATTTGCTTACTTCTAGAGTAGCATAGAGCATTCCTTACATCGAAATAAGTTATTTATTTTTTATCCAGAACAATTGTGATGACCTGTCATTTCTAGAGGTTCACATATCTGACCTTTTCACATATCCACCTGTACCTCAGTTTCCAGCGAGTTGGATATGCCACATTACACCATATTTTTTTTTTCTTTTACGCAATTGTGAACAACAGCCATATCAGACGTTAATGCAACTAATCGGCATAATCATTGGTCCACTGCAGCTCAAAGACTCACTCCGACAAGGCGTGTGGTGAAGCTAGGAGATGTCCATGTGCTCGGAATTTGAAGGCCTGGAGACTAGAATCGGTGATTTCGCCGACAATGTGTTCAGGGAGGCATTTCCATATCCAGACAGCAGAGGAAAGGAAGCTTCTGTTCAAACATTACAATGCAGCGCAAATATTTGCTGACCACCAGGCATTGCGATGGCTAAATCGTCATTCCTTCCGCTGCCATTGCATTGTGAGCGTTAGAATCGACATGGATGGAAAATAGATGCATATGAAGTTGGTAAACAAAAATATCTCCTCACAAAGTATGAGTCCTTAATTTTGTTTAAATATTCCATTTTATATACAGTATTGTACAAGCCATATAAGCACAACACAAATGCATAAATAATTCAACATTCACAAAATATTTTATTAATTATTAAGAAACATTTACACTTCACTACCATGCACAACACCTACACATCAATGCAGTAAGAAATATATTCCAACAGGTACCATTTATATTGTTACTAGTTTCAAAAGCTAATTTTGTCTGTCTAGAAACACTTTTTAGTAGTTATTGGGAAGCAAAGTTCATATATGGCAATGTAAAGAGAAAACTAGAAACAGTCTTCAAACAGGAATCATTTACAATAAGAGCAAAGAATAAATAAAAATGTAAGTTTGGCTGATTTTATTTATATTGACAAGAGCATACACTGTACCAAGTCTCCATATCCATCCTACTGGTGCAACTTTGCTTGCATGTGGATCAAGAAAAAGGGCCTTACATTATGACGAAACAAACATCCAACCACACAGTCATGTTCAAACACCGCACTGGAATGTAATGCTACTGGAGCATGGATTTAGATAAGCCTAAACAAGCAACAATTACGAGAAAAAGTGCGAACTAAAAAACAGGTTGTACAGCGAATCTAATTTTTAAACAATATATTAAACGTGGTTTTTTTTTGCATTAAACACTTCAATATGAAGCAGTTAAGTGCTTGTGATGGCTTGTTTTAGCATTATAAATTTGGACACAGGTAAATTTTCTGTTGGTGGACAGCCACGTAACTTGAACCCTGACTCCCTCGGCCACCCGTACCGTATCCAGTGGTTGAGACTCAAGCACTCTGAAAATTAAAAATTATTTTTGACTGCAGGATCTAAAAATAAGTCTTGAAAGCTCAGTATACTGCTCATAAAATTCAGGCTCACCAGTAGTGTGGTCTACGGTTTCAGAGCTCTTCTTTTAGAGAAGTAAATATTTCCTGGTGAAGAAAAAAAGAGAACATTCTTCATGAATGCTTGGCAGCTGGCTACAACTTTTCATTTCAAACAAAACCAATAAAACACTCGTGATTTAAATTTTGATTTAAAGCTTTCGTGACTGCAGTAATTCATATTCTTAGCTCTTTCGGTAAAGTCACGTTGAAGGGAAACAATAAAATAATAAAATATATATAAAACAATAAAAAAAATTATCACGACGTTTCGACCATAACACAAACGGTCATCATCATGATTGTTCACGCTTACGGTGGCTTTCAGACAGCATACATTAATTTTTCGTCTCCCCCCTCCTCTTTTCAGAACATAGATGGACTCGTCCTTCTAAACAAACTGCCAAATCGCTGCCCGTGATGCTAAAATTAAATAAAAACACCGTTTAAAAATAAATAAATGTGAACCGCCACTTCTTTCAAATGTTTCTTGCCGTTGGTTTTCACACCTGATGATGACCGTTTGCGTTATGGTCGAAACTCGTGATTTAGTTTCAGCAAAAGTTCTATAAAATTGTACACGCAATAGTGTCTAGTAGAGGGATTTGTCACGAATATTCTTAAAAAATATATCAATGTATTCTCATGGATGAATAGCACTTCCTTATGTTCAATAAAACGAATTTAATTACCATAGAATCACAATAGATTTGGGTAACTGAGGCCAAGTGCCCTTTGCACAACAGGACAACTATAACTACATTTCACAACTCTTATCCCTCCAGTCCCAAAAATACATCTGAAAATTTAAAAGAATGAGCATACTAAAAGAAGCTGTTGCCTATAAGATGGACGTGCATGGAATAGTGTTGTCAGCAGAGACATGGACACTGAGAAAAGGAAGCATCAGACACATGGGGTGTTTTGAATGGAGAATATCAGCTGGACATAAATGAATAAAAAAACGTGCAATAGTAGGTTAATGCGAAGAGTAGTTTGATTGGACCAATTAAAAGTTGGCAAAAACTCAATTGGGAATTTTTATTCTATATTTAAGGCTTTCGTGACTGCAAGGATCCATACTCTTTGGTTCTATTCGGTAAATTCACGTAGGTAAAAAATAAAACAAAAATCACGTTTCGGCCACAACACAAGCGGCCTTCATCAGGTGAAGGGATCAGGCTGTCTCAAGGCCAGCGCTGGAGCGAAACACAGCCACGCTCAGACCGCGACCTTTAAGCTGTGTGCGAGGAAACAAGGTGCCTTGACAAAGGAATTAGCATAAAATTAGCATTTGATTGGCCGACTTAGCATAGAGGTGGTGTACGGGTGCACATGCCGGTTGGCGCGGGGGGGGGAGGGGAGTTTACCTGTTGATGGTGTGAAAGGGGAATTTAAGAGCTGCGAAAGTTTGGGGTACCACTACTTGAAAAATATACTGTACCATTGAAAATTGGTTTAATGTTTGGTTCGATTTAAAACATATTTCCAATGGTTGCTTAATTTTAAACCATCTTCTTGGTTGAAATTGTGTCTGTGCTTGTAGATCTGAATTTGCCTCGTGAACAAATCTCTGATAAAAATCCGTGGGTTTGCAAAGAACCTTGGTATCGGAGAAAATTATATCGTGATCACCCACAGCGTTGTAACAATGATCAGGGAATTTTTATAACAAAACGTTTTTTTTTATTTTACCAAGCAAGGCCCACTGAGCTATATAGCTCTTTTTGAGAAGTGACCTGGACATAAATGATAGCTCAATGAAGTGGCTTATCATGTGGAAATTTCTAGCAGCCCAATACTCTAAACACACGTTTCTAATTGTGGACGGAAAAACTAGAGGATCCGGAGAAAAATTCACGCGTCCATGGGGAGAACATGCAAACTACAAACACACAAGTTAGTTAGTTAACATCTCACCACCATAGAGTGAAGGCGTGCTAAAAGTAAGCTCTATAATTAAGGATTTTGGGGAAAAAATCTACAAGGTAGAAAAGGATACACAGTGCTAACCAACTTGAAGTATCACAATCTATATCATGACACCAAGAGGGAAGTGCAAAACTGGATAAGATTGAGATAACTCGAGCTTAGAACCTACCCTTTGGCAAATACCTCGAAGAAAATAAAATCACGCTTAGGAAAACATGCTTGCAGGAATTGCCATCTCAACCCATAAGGAGTTGTGGAAGCATGAGCAGGGCTTGACTTGTACGAAATAAAAATCTAATTGCACTCTAAGTCTTTATAAGACTACTAGCTGTAATTTTTTATGTGTGGTCAAATACAGTCATCATTTTCCAAAGTTGGTATAAAATGAATTAATATTTAGTGATGTATCCAAATATATATTGTTGATGCATTCTACATAACATTATTTTATACTAAGTAGTGAAATCAATGAAAGTAAAATTGGGGCACATTTGTAGTTAACAAGTGAGCAGTTTCAACTCCAGAACTTCAGGCAGGGAAGTTGCAGTCACCAGGAGTAGTGAAGTGTACATAAAAAACCTACAAAATTAAAATCAGCGAGCTCACCTTGGCTGCCTTGCCCGTGTCACCAGGTAAGGAAGCAAGTTTATCCACTTGTTCTGTCATCGTGTGCAGCCACTCTCGTAAGTGCAAGGCATTCCTGCATAGCAGACAAAATTAAAGTATTTGATTTTCGTAACAAAATTAAGGTGCGCTTTACTGAGCGACATATCTTAAAGGAAACATATTGGTGGCATTCTAAAATAATTCTGAAAGAGGCATCTATTGACGAAAGGTGTTTTTGAATTGCATCCTAAACGATCACTGCAGTTTAAGGATTCAGCATCCGCCACTGAGCAGATGCGTGTATGCATACTGAACTTCTTTCGCACCATACGTAGCCAACCGTTCTAATCGGAGGTGCAATGCACACTATCTAATATGCATCTGTGAATGAAGGAGACTGGTAAAGCTTAGCTCAAAATGTACAATGAGGGTGTGGAGGGAAATCAGTTTCCGAACAGAGTTGAGTTAAAGCCTATTAGGGGACACAGATTATTTGGTCCATGCCCCCAAATGAATTTAACTGTTTGGCTTAAGCCTCATGGAATAAGCCTATTAAAGCCACTTACACATTCCTGGTGCTATTTCTGCAGCCAGACTGTTAATTCAACAAAGGGCAAAGGATGGGCTTACGTTTATCCAGCTCGCATGTGCAGTAGTTATACATGCAGTGCAATGCTGAAGCATTGTTTGTATACATACTGTTTTATCAGTGGGTGACAAGACCTGTAGTTTGTAGCAGTAAAACAATGACTGGCCATGTTTGTCCAGTGACAAAGACATATTTATAACAAAATAATCCAACAGTTGCCAGTAAACATAAACCTAGATATAGACAGAACCATATTTAGTGGTAATCCTGAGTAGAGCAAACAGCACATAACATAACCATTGTCATACCTTTCATCAAAATACACTTGGTTGTCCCTCCCATTGGTATCTACAGACAGCACTGTCTTCCACTGCTTAAGGACAGCCTCGAGCCACTCCAGGGCAGTGAGGTTGTAGCTGAAAAGAGAACAGTAGCAACACTCTGGGTGAAACGATGAGTATTGGCAGGTTCTATTGATCCTTGCAAGCGGAGGGCTAAGTCGGGAACTCATTTCAAGTGCAGCTGATGACAACTACCCCTGACCTCGTGTTTAGGATCACTTCGGTGGTTTCATTACTTTGTAAAAAAAAAATCCGTTTGTGAAAAATGTGACAAAACATTGTTATATGCATCATTTTAATACATTTAGTGTGTGCAGGTGAGTATAATCTATGCACCCTTACAATGTTACTGAGTATGTTTACTCTCCAGTGACAATCACAATATTTTGTGAATTTGTACAAAAATCATTTTCCGAAGCTAGGAAAGGTTTTAATGATGTGCAATTTATGGAAATGTTTGCCTAAAATCAATGTTCGAATGTCTTTAAAACTCTGACACAATTGTAAACATGCACGAAGAAGTAGTTTAAGGAATGGTTACACTTGAAAACTCTCAAAAAATATTTCAAGGTATGAAGCTCTAAGCTGACTGATTTGGCACTATCAGCAACTGGCAAAGGTGTGGTTTTGTCAGGCTAAGAGTCATGACACTATAGTGTTTTTTGCCTATGACCTATCATCCGGAATGTGCCCAGTCTCGTAAGATTTGAGGCTAAGCCAGAATAGCACATGTATGGGTGACCATCATGCGCAAAACAGGTATTTTAAGCATCCAGGGGCTATGTTGCCAGCAGAGGACAGTGAAAGAAAAACAATTATTGTACTGTACTATGCTCCAAAGTCTATGCTTCCCAAGACCAGTGTGATGAGGTATGGTCAAACAACCCCAACGACCTGCACGGTGTGGGTAGTGGATTGACCAATCCAGCAGTGGATTAACGGGCTGTACATGTACAAGCTCGGGTTACCAGTTTTAATCATAATGAAGAGAAGAAAGTATTTTATACGGAGCTTACTGTTCATATCTGCTGTTGAGCAGGGCGTCAATCAGTGGTAACAGCTCCACACAGGCTCCCAGCGGCTGTAGTTCTCTGTTCTCTTTCAGGCTAGCAGGGATACAAATGCAAAGCACTGCACATTTAGAAGGCCCACCTACAAGATTTTAATGCATTATTATTATAATCTCAAGAAGCGTTCAATAACTCTCTGTTTAAGCTTATAAAAATGCATCATTCGGAGATGTTTTAAAAATAGCTTCCCGAAATATTTTCAACAAATGCTTCAACAAAAATGACCAAGACTACTTGAGATAGTAGGATAGTATAAACCAGCGTTATTCACTACGAAGTAGGGGTGGAACACTGCGATTCATAAAGATGAATTAACTTAAGATTATACATCAAAGGACCTGTATAATAATCAACGTTTATTTTATGAACAAAAATTGTATGTCATGGGTTCATGTCGCCCCTGCAGCAACTAGAGGTGGTAGCAGTCACTGGTATAATACAAATAATAAATGATGCAATTGACAACTCATCGAATCACTGCCAGAAATTGTTCCAAATCTACTGTTAAATATTGACATTGTATGTCCATATCATGTGGAAACAATGCATTGTCTTATCAAGCATTCGCTCAGGTCAGTTTTAAGATAAAGTTAATTATTGGATGTCATCACCTTTTCGTTATGATTCCGATGCAATTAGCAGCTACGCTCAGGTCACGTACCCTGCGGAGAAATCAAGGCATGTGTTAAATAGCATTTGCAATGATAAATGCATACCTTTGAAAGAGCTTAGGATATTGGGTTTTTAAAAAGTTTTGAATGCTGATATCCAGCTGATTTACGTGCCCACCTAAAGAGATAAGAGACCAAGTCAGCAGGATTGCGTTTCCAGAAGGTTAAAGCTGCATCTAGTTTGAGCTGGTAGTCAGAGAGAACCTGCATCATGTCTTCATGTTCCTGAGTTATCTGGGAAACGAAAAATGATAACAAGTTTACGCTTTAAGGAAATAAATACCTTTTTGAGGGTCATTGTAAAAATGCTCAATCAAAAATAAGAGACATTTAACAAGGCAAGTTTTATCGTGACAATGTATTTTCGCATTACATAGGGGCAGTCGCCTACAGTGTTTTACGTTGAGAAATTAATACAGGCAATCCAACATATTTATTAAACATTTTTAGCATGTCGCGGAGGTGACAAACTTAGGATTTGAAACAACTTTATCACAATACAAACACATCACCGTATACGTTTTTGAAACGAGTGTGACTTGATCTTAATTGCCATGGCCTCGTTTTGAGCTGCACACTCACCTCTTCAATTATATATTGCTCCAATGCTCTGCTTCTCTCAGCTGTGACATCCGACAGGCACGCTCTACCAATCACAGGCCACAGGTGCCCATCCGCGACGTCGTTAGCCAGCCCGTCATGGGGCGCAAACGTACGCCCTTCACCACTGTTGCCGCCACTGCTGGCCGACGCGTGGGAGATCTCGTTCTCTTTTTCAGCCATCGACCAGTCCGAGTCGAAATCAGTCTCCTGAACAGGTGGATTCTTCAGCTCTAACACGGGCTCCAGGCACGCTCCTTCAATGTGTTCTCTGTATGGACCGTGCTCCAACTTCACCACTGTGAGCAGGAGGAACAAGAGAATAGAAAGTGCAATCTTTGCACATTCTAGGAAGGTATGCGGGATCCTTCAGATTTGTCCGATAACAATTGGCACTTGTTACTGCAAAAACTCCGGACTTGTTAACAATTGTGAATAACCTGTGTCAACAATTTTTCTGTAAAAGAGCTGTTACTTCGACTACTTATCGCACCTCAAATTAGGAAGGATGGCTACGTACGGTGCGAAATAAGTTAAAATACATACATAACAGGTAAAATTGCAGCCCTGCAGTTTCTTGCTCAAACCAGTCCTTGCACAAAGGCCTCCACTCGTGGGACCTTAAGAGCCCATCTGGAGGAAATTTGTCCTCCTCTTCCACACTTGTAAAAGGGACGATTATCTCGACTTCACCCCACCAAAACGCGACCTGCCGACCAACTTTCGTGTACTCATTTATACTCCTGGATGGACAAGGGCAGGGGATTTTAAAATCACTTTTGTAAATGCACGTGGTGGGTGATCGAACCGGCATTCTCCGTATGTGTGATTAATCCTCGCTTAACGCGTTTTCATACAACACGTTTTTTTCTATAACAGTTCTTCTATGAGGGAACACTTTTTTGCATGAAGTGGAACGCGTCCGTTCTAACATAGTTTCTGTGCAGTCAACTACTTTCCTAAACTGCGCACTATCTTACAGTACGCGGAACGATACAGTACTCGGCGTATCATCATCTCAGTTTTTTTTATTCCACCAAGGGATGACTGCAGGCTGATTTTATTGTGCAAATGTGATTCAGTCCAGAAATTTCTCGCTTAACACACCACTTTTTAGGAATGCATCTACCGCATTCCTTTTTAAAACGATTTCAATCACTAGCATGAGAAGAGTTTTGCTCATAACATAGGCACCACTATGAAAAAGCACCAAAATTCTTACCTCTATATGTTTTTCCCAATGTAGGTTGCACCAGGGAAGATGGTGAACCCTTGAGTATAGTCAAACCTTTGATTGTTTTACTGCAAAAAAAAAAACAGTACACATATGCTTTACAACAAATACTTAACGACAAATGTAAAACTCAGAAATTCGTGAAGGTAAAAATCTTTCCTACCGCTTTTTTTCCTTTAAGTTCAGTTTGTCTTCATATGGGGAATGAGAAATCTGCAGGCATAGAGAATTCAGGCATTATGTTTAAAAGTTGTTGTCGAAATGTATATTTCAATTGTAATCAGATACCTTTGTTTTGGTAGAAAGGCTTGATAAATGTAAGATTCGTAAACGAGGCATGTTCATTCAAATTGGAAAGCAATAGACTTGGATTGTAAAACACATGATGACAACATATCATAAGTACAACATATTCCTTTACTTTAAAATGTACATGCCCATGTACTTTACAGTGTTTTGTCAATCCACTGCTGGATGATGGCCTATCCAACACCGTAAAGGTCATGGGGGTTATTATCTCAAACTTCACAGTGCTGGTCGGCGTTGGTTGGTGAAGGCGATGGAGGAATAGAGTTGTGGGATCAAACAATTATAGTCATCTGCTGCCCACATCATCGCCCCGATGAATGCATATATAAGAAGCATTGCTTGCCTTCATAATCTTGTCATCCTTGGCAATAGTAAGACGGGGAAACTTGCATTTCTCTGTTTCTGAAATTGGCACAGATTTCAAGGTTTGTCTCGTCCTTCCTTTTCCACGCTTCGCTCCAGATGCCATCATCACACACCCCCTGCCGCCTGCGAGAGAACAGCGATCCATCATCACATCCGATGCCGCTGCCATATACAGCAACTATTTCTCTCGACTGCCTTGTCACAGCCTCGAATGCCTCAAAGGGTATTATTGGGGGCCTCTTGACAAACACACCTTACTGGACGTGCAACATTCAAGAGAGCGTAGAATGATACACCATGTGCAATCCCCTCGGCTCCGAATTTTAACAGGGATAATCCCTGTAAAATGTGTTAAATCTTGTGAATATTTTTGAACCGCTGAACAAAGCGAACGCACCGACATAACACATCCGCACAATGATACCACAACACGCCGAAGAGGATATCAGAATGCGTTTATGCAGGCTTCTTATGGTGTGCCACATGTACACAGGGGGATTTACAGTAGGCTACTGTACATATTACTTAACACATCACGCACGCCTCACTTAGTGGCCCATTTGGGACAAAATAAACAGGGTTGGAGGGAGACTCCAGATGCATTGCTTTTGGGGTTATATTACATTTCCAATTAACCTGTTTCCAGAATATGTACAGTAATACCACACTGCATGGAAAAAATCGTGTTGCAAGTGCTGCATCCTTGGGCTCTGAAAGTCAATTCGTCAAATGGAAATGTTACACTTCGAAAAAATAATTTGAAATGCAAAAGGAACGAAGAACAATCTCAAAACATTAATGTACAGCAATGTCTCATTTAAACCTGAAAACCGCCGAATGAATGGAGCGAAATGCCCCACATGCCCAGCGACAGCACCGAATTTTAACAGGGATAATCCCTGTAAAATATGTTAAATTTTGTGAATATTTTTGAACCGCTGAACAAAGCGAACGCACCGACACAACACATCCGCACAATGATACCACACCACGCCGAAGAGGATATCAGAATGCGCACGTTTACATGACAATAACGCTGCATTCACACAAGCGATACGAGATGCACGTTGTTACCAATCCTGCCAAGGAGGCATTAGCCCTGAGGCATCCTCGTCTGACACAATTAGGACCGGTCAAGGTCGATCCATTTGCAGGGTACAAGGCGTACAGGAAAAAAAATAGCCACATCCCAGGAATAGCAGTCATTAAAAAAAACCCCATTTACAGACACGTATTGCAACCGAATCATCAGGCTGTTCATAGTATTGCACAGAATAGCAACCGCGTGGCCGTATGCAAGCACAGCGGGGTTGTGGACATCTGCCCGTACGAACTGAGAGCTACCTACACAAAGAGCGAGAGAAGAGAGAGAGGGCTTTAAATGACGGCAGCGGATAGAGGGGAGTCGGGATCAAGTGAGATTGCTGATGGCATAAAAAATAACAACCGGTAAAAAGATTGCAATTCTCACCGCACACGGAACGATGTCGGCCTCCACATTCATTTGTAGAATCTCATTAGGGTCAGCTTTGCAAAAAAATATATGAGAAAAAAAGGTTTTAATGCCGGCAAAAGTGAATGAAGACCGATCGCCGCCACTGCCTTTGACAATGGAGAGGGCCTCGGGCGGCCAGCTCCGCCCAGCCAGATCAAGCCACGCCCACAAGCACAAAGCCCCGCCCCGCTATATGTAAGTCCCGCCCTTCCTTTCGTGAGCCCCGCCCCTTTATGCGCATGCCAAGCCCACTCTCACTCGTGATCTCTTCCCACTGGTCTAAGCCCCGCTCCAGCCTCTTACCGCGCGGAGAAGAAGGGGAAGCCCCCCGCCCGTGCGAATAGCTACGCCCATATCTGAGTGAGCCCCGCCCCCTCATCTACATAGCTCCGCCTCGAAGTCGAAAAGCTCTACAAACCCCCTCTGAGCGCGCGCGAGTTAGCGCTAGCCAATCAAAACGCTTAGAAAGTCGAAGCGGTTCTCGTATTTCGTTGCAAGTTGCCAATTGAAAGGGATTTTTATTTTTAATGTTTCACCGCTGAACGTGTAGGTTATGCAACCTTCCCATTGTGAAAATTAAATGTGTTTAGACATTTGACAGATGTAAACCTCTATAAGATGTGTAGCTAAATCGGATTCCTCCAGTCTAAATAAAGATTCTGAATGTAATACTTTTGCAAGCTAATAAATTGGTCATGATTGTGCCTTGTTTGAAACCAAATTTTAAAGCATGGAGTATTTACAAAAAGCATGCACGTTCTATTAAAAATAATTGAAAACGTTAACTTATGTATCCGGAGGATAAAACCTCCAGATCTAGCAACACTGAGTGGATAGAATGTAAAAAAAACGACCGACATCAACTGCGGCCAATGAGAAAAGCTGTTACAAACACGTCATGGTGGTCAATATGTCACGGCTCGCCTGATTGGTCAATGGTGAACAATGGTAATACCATATTCTTGGTTCTTTCGGTGAAGTCATCACGTGGAAGGGAAACAATAAAAAAATATATTAAACAAAAAAATTATAACGACGTTTCGACCGCAACACAAGCAATCATCACGCCTGATGAAGAATATGAATCCCTGCAGTCACGAAAGCTTTAAATCAAAATGGTAATAACTATTGGTCGTTTTATTATACCGCACTGTATTGTCTAAAAACCTACCAACTTTTATAGTTTCTAATAAGCTAATTACAAACAAATGAATGGCAGAAACTCCACAGGCCGGAGCCACGAAACTTTATTGACATTGTGTTAAATTTATTGAAAGCTTTTCTGCAATCGCTGTTGATTGTATTTAAAAAGCTTGCTCAGCACAAGCTGTGTGACGTCAGTCTGTGCAACGTGACGTCACAGGCTAAGCCTGACGTCACAACTTTTTTTTCATTCAGGGAATACGTATTTCTCCTTGCATATGACATAAATTATCTATTAAAACCGAGACCTCTGTCAATAATAATTGGATAAATATATCCAATATTGGAATAATAAAACATAAAGGTTTACGCTGCATTTGGTATTGAACATGATAATTCCAGAAGGGACCAAATAATAAACAGAAAAGGGGCCGTCCATAAATGACGTCATGCACCTGGGGGGGGGGGGGTGTCAGACATTTGTGACGATGTGTGACGAGGGGGGGGGTTGAGAAATGTGACGTCACATCAAAATGCGCAACTTTAAATAAATATGGACAACACGTTCTACTTAATTAAATAGACTTTTTTATGAATGTTTCTCCTACAACATCAGAGTACAGCGCCACATTAAATACGCACTACAATGACAATAGTTTAAAGCGATTTGAAGCATGTGTTTTTTTTGGGGGGGCAGAGCTTTGTGACGTCATTTTTGAGGGGGGGGTCTGACTTTTTGCGACGCCGTGTGACGAAGGGGGGGGGGGGGATCAAAAATCGTCCAAAATCGCGTGACGTCATTTATGGACGGCCCCAAACAACATTATACACGTATGTGTAAGACGTGTAGTTTTTTGGTTATAAAGTAGTGTTAATGATTGATTTGTTTTAGCTGTTTTGTGGCTTGTAGGGCATCGATTTCCGCCGAGTTCAGAATTAGATTTGTACTGGAGGAATCCGGTGAGCTAAACGGCTCTTTTTTACACGTGCCCACTATTCACAGATGTCCAGTTCTCTGGTTTAAAGCAACCTCCCGCCTACCCCCAAACACTGTAACTGGTATTGGACCAAAATATTGTATCCTAACGCGAAAAAAAACACCGTACCTGCAAATTACTTGGGAGGTTAGCAATCATCATCCCCCCCTGCCCCTCCCCCACTGCGAAAACCTGGTAGGACCCTTTTGGCAAAAGAGTATTGGATGTTTTCTCTGGGTAAACCAGAGTAGCATTATTATTCTTGGTTCTTTCGGCAAAGTCACGTAGAAGGGAAACAAAATAATAAAAATATACAAATTTTTGTTTTATAAAAATATAAAAAATTTGGTTTTATATTTTTATTATTTTATTGTTTCCCTTCTGCGTGACCGAAAGAACCAATAATATGAATCCCTGCAGTCACGAAAGCTTTAAATCAACATTTAAGAGTAGCATTAAATAAATAAGTTGCTGCTCACACAGGGTGGGTGAGAAATACCATTTTTAAATCACGTAGAATTTAACTTCAGGACATAAATGACCCTTGTATAAGTGTTACAAAGATGGAAGAGTGGACAAATATCGAGAGAGCAAGGATCATGCATCAATGTCAACCCTGACGGACACGTTCCCACATCATATAATTTCACGATTTGGAAGATGTCCCATCGCCAGCCAGAAGTGCAGACTTAACGGCGCCCGGTTACTTTTCGTGTTGGTATATTAAATAAACTGTCTACCAGACAAAACTCATTTCTTTAGAACTGCTTTTTGTGTTTAGTTTTTTTGCAAGGTCGTAATTATAATATATATTTGGGGGGACACATCCCCCCCAATATTCAAATATGCTCAAAATGTCCCCCCCCCCCAATATATTGCTATAAAATAGATTTCTGTATATATGATTGTGGTTATGGTTGTACTTTATAAATCCCTGATCTCTGCCATTACATAGAATGGAACAAGAAAAGGTAAAGAAAATATAGGGCAATGTAATACAATGCACTATGAGACATTGTAAAAAAAAAAGTCCATCCTATGTGTTAGTTAATTTTAAAATATTTTAGTTAGGAAATTCGTTTTCAAATTTGTAAGATTTGGTCCCCCCCATGTTGACTCCATGGCTTCGGCCTTGGTTTTTGGTCCCCACCTCCACTACCGCTGCACCTCCGATTAGCACAGTTGGCTACGTACGGTGGTGCGTAAGTAGTTGAACATACAGAGTGGTTCAAAAGTATTGTGACCTCAATTTAATTCTCTTAATGTTTTTTTAAATAAAGTTTTATTTAAAACATAAATTCATATGCAAAGGGAAACAAATTTTCGGGGCGCATACATTTTGGGGTCACAATACATCTGGACCACCCTGTACATACATGGAAATGGTGGTTACTTCAAAGGCATTTTTAAGACTTCGGTATTATAATATAATCGGCTAAAGTATTCTCCTGAAGCTGTAGTTTTGCATGATATAAAAATATTATAATTTTCTATGAAACTGCTCTTTTCGACATTAAATATAAATGTGTCAGGTATTTATTGCCCACCCTGTATACAGCATTCATCCCAACAATTCACAAACAACTGTGATTACAAGAAGCCACGCAACCTGGTAATCTAGTTAATCATACTTCCTTTCCATGAAATTGGATCTTAAAAAACAAACATGCTAGAGTGTAGAATATTAAACATGCATGAATGTGATAGCAAGAGCATGAACGTGGGGAGGATAAGTGACTGAAGGGGTTTCAGCTGGGCGAGTCAACTATCCAGTTTGTGGTTTTTTTTTGCTATTTTAGCCCCAGGCAGGGCGCAACATTTTTTCCATGATTTGTTAACTATCAATATTTAATATCCATCCACCTGAAACATATATTGTATTATGTTCCTCCCGCCACCCCCCATGAGTTCAGAAGTATGCATGCGCAGCTTTTTCCAAAGGCATTATGGCCTGCTGCTTATCACGATGAGCCAAGAACCGTAATGATGTATCTAAGCGCCAGAGTCTGATTGCACTTTTTGCCATGAATCATTGCCAAGGCTTAAAATACACTACATTGTGGTATAGGTGTCTTATTACCTCCATTTAACTCTGTAAAACTTAATTGATGTTTTTACGCATAATTTTGTTAAAACAGAAATCAATATGCAAAGGGAAAAAAAATGTTAGGGGTCAATTAATTGGGGATCAGAATACATCTGGACCACCCTGCGTAGTACAATGGGTGGATAGTTCAGGTTTAATGGTCTCCAAACTTTAATGGTCTCCAAGCTCATCAAATATAGATTGACATTTTTTTCGAATTGGGATACATTTTAAATACAGCATAATAAGGTTGCAGTTAATTATGATGCATATGGCCAAATACATCAATCGCTAAGCAACGTTGATCGTGGGTCATGCTTTTCTGGGCGACAACAATGGAAGGTTGTCACGATGCTGTGTGGCCACGCTGTGTTGTGGGCAGTAGAGGGCTGTTTATAAACTTCCACATCTATGCTTATACCTTTGTTAACCAGCCTGGTGAAGTATGATTAAAAAATAACCCCCACCTACAAGAACTGTCATAAGTGTAGAGCACATATCCGGATGTGTTTTCCGGTTGTGTAGATCCAACAGATATCTCCAAATAATCAGTCAACATTGTGCTCTGCGTCCAAATATTTATCCTGAGTCCAACTTTGCAGCATTATTCATGTAGGGTTTTCAATCATATCCTGTAGTCAATTGTCATTTGTCGTTATCATAACTATGTCATCAATCACATCGGAAATGGTTTTATTTCCACTGTGTGCAAAGTATGTTGTTACTGTCTTCACGCGATCTCAGGACAGTGTATCTCTTGTACTTTGGGAACGGTTTTAATATTTCTAAATACATTTTAGTAGGCCTGGGTTTATGAGAGGCTGGATGATTGTAATCTGTTTTCACCGTGGAAAATACAATGGATTAGAATGCTTTATGTCGGTAAACAGTCATACATGATCTACGCATTGAAATCATTTAGACTGCAAGCCCGTTGAGCTAGCCAGCTATTTTTCATGGGTGACTTGGCCAGC